AGACGCGGGGCATCGACGTCGGGTAGCAGCGAAGAACAATGTCCGAGCGGAGGCGTAATTAGCTCGGGAATTTATTGCTCGGAATGGTTCGTCTGTCGCGTCCCGTAGGAGAGGGCTTCGAGGAGGCGAGGACGAAGGGACAGAGCAAACAGAACGAGATAATTTATTCGATCGATGGCCCGCGACTGCGGCTGGGCATGGCCCTCGCGACAATAACGCTGCACGGATAGCGCATCGCATAGTATCGAGTCGCATCGAGTCGCATCGAGTCGCATCGGGTTTCATCCAACGTCGGATCAATTCTATGTGCGCCCTCGCCCTGGCGCTCTCTCCCTCTCTCGCTCTCCGTCTCTCCGTTTCTCTGTTCAAACATTTACGATTTTATGATTGAATTCGCACGGCGGATTCGTCCGAGGCGGCAGATCCTCGTTCGTTTGCGCGATCACGACTACCAAGCACCATCGCGAATACATTATCCAACGGCTGGATCAAATTTCGATCGATCTCTCTGCTTCCGTGCAAACGAAGTCTCAACAGATTGCTCGGCCGGCTATTGTATACGAATTACGGACCGTGTAACTTGCTCGATGGGTTTAAGAGATCCTCCGAGATCGACGATGTCCTCTGCTTGTTTTCCATCAAACGTTCGCGGACACCTGATCTTTCAATTTTCTTTACCCCTTCCGACACTTCTCATGGACTGAGCGAGTTTTTATCAGATCCTGTCTTCTCCTTCTTAAACCTTTTCCACGCAAGTCCTAGAAATTCGTTGAGAGAATTCTTCATTGTTTTCGGCACTTGTTACAGTAATGTCTCTCTAATTGACGCTCAGATTGTGCATGAAAGTGGACAATTTGGGAAGAGGAGATACGATTATACGAGTCTTGCAGCTCGTTTTTATAATTGTTGATAATTGGTAACCATAAAAACGAGTTGCAAGGCTCGAACAATGGTATCTCCTCTTCTCAAATTGTCCATTTTTGTGCACAATCTGAGCGTCAATTAGGGAAACATTATACTTGCGTGTATTGCGTTCATAGATCCTAAAATTATTGTCTTCAATTCGATTCGAGAATTGTTTCATTACTCTTACGATTTCTGTCCCAGATCGAGGGATTCTTTTATAGTTCGCATTATTTTCATGTCAGATTCAAAGATTGTTTCACAGCTGTCATAATTTTTGCCTCAGGTTTAAGAATTGTTTCATAGCTCCTACAATTTTTGTCTTACATTTAAGTATTGTTTCGTAGCTCCTACAAGTTTTACTTTACATTTAAATATTGTATCATTGCTCTTACAATTTTTGTCTTAGATTCAAGTATTCTTTTACAATTCCAACGATTTATGTCAGAGATTCAGTGTTCGTTCTTCAGTCCCTTCAATTACAGCAATTTCTCCCAGAAACGTTTGGAGTCGGAATCGAAACACGCAGATCTGAGAATACTAAGTCGCGCTAAGACACGATACTTCGAGTTTCGCGACGCGTTTTTATGGAAACTCGGCACAGTCGGCGAAGAAGGCAGCGGTTAGTACGCCGATATATATTAACACGAATATGTACATATTAATGCTAGAATAAAAACGATGACTTAACTTTTTATATTTCTAATTTCATATACATGGAAATTTTTTTGATATATTGGTCAGAGTCTTCCAATTAAAATGAGACCAAACACGACATGCTTTAGATCATATTTATTCATCATATTTTATTTGCGAAAAAAGCATTAGAAAAACCGATTCTTAACCACATATGAAATATTAAAGGCAACGTCAAAGAAAGTATGCACATGTGTCGATCGAAAGTATCAGTGAAGTTATGCTATATTCGGGCCTACGTTCGACCGATGCTTGACTCGTAGGCCAGATGTCGCGATTCGACGGTCACGTACCTAGTGCAATAAATCCTCTTCAATCGCCCCTTGACTTGTAAACAAAAAACTAACAACTTGAGAAGTGGGTATACGATTATTCGGGCCTCGGGGCTTGTTCTTGTAGTTGTTGATAATCGGCAGCTATAAAAACGAGCCGCGAGCTCGCATAATCGTATACCCACTTCTCAAGTTGTTAATTTTTTGTTTACAAGTTGAGGGGCGATTGAAGAGGATTTATTGTACTAGGTACGTGACCGTCGAATCGTGGCATCTGGCCTACGAGCGACGGTCGAATGAAGACATCTCGCTTACGAGTATCGGTCGAACGTATGCCCGAATAGCATAACTTCACTGATGCTTTCGATCGACACATGTGCATACCTTCTTTGACGTTGCCTTTAATATTTCATATGTGGTTAAGAATCGGTTTTTCTAATGCTCCACAAGCTGAGCGATGATTGGGGGAAATTTACAGTACCTAATCTGACCTGAGTCTTACCTGACTCATACCCAAACAGCTATTTTGTGTTGTCTTCCGAGAATTCGCGTCGCGTGCCGAATCGCACTCTTTGACCGACTTCGTCGACCCTTAGCACCGACGAAGCAATAAATTACAAAGGCATAGGACTAGCACAAGGAAATTCACAGCAACCCGAAATGTGGCATTTTCGGGAAAAATGACTGCACTATCTTACACGGATTGAAAAATAATTTGCCAGCTCCTGCAATCTTTCACATACATTTCGATTCTATTCGAAGATCTTACAATTCCCTTAATCTCTAACTAAAGAGAATATTAATTCTTCATATATATATATATACCTCTATACCCACTCATATATATACCCTCTCATATATACCTCTGCAATCTTGAAAATATGTTTCTACTTGAGTTGTACGCTGTGGCTGCGTGCAAGAAAAATTGCAGCCCGAGGACAGAATAAACGATCAAGAACGAGAAACAAGGGAAAACTTGTACAACGATTAGAAAAGCCAGCCAGAATTTTGCGCGCTGCGTCGGGCGATGTCCTCGAGTCGAGCTCGCAAGAAATAAAAATACGAATCAGAGACTCTGTACTTTATATCCCGACTCGCATATCACTGTTCGCCGGGGGAATATTCTGAGCCACAAAGACCGGCGGCAGTCTTGTAATTACAATTACGACCCACTATTTGCTTCTCCTTGGAATTGCAATTTTTATGCGCGCCCAAGCCGCGAAACAAAGTTCTTCGCCGGCGTGTTCCGGTTTTCCACGGGGTTAACGGAGGGAAAATATGAATTCATACGTGTAATATGGGCAGGCGGGTCCGTAGTTTATTCATCACAGACGGCGTAATTGCGGTAAAAATTAAACCGGCGAAGAGTTTCCTCGAAAGGAGATATTGTCGCGCGGCAAAATTCCAGCGAGAAGCCGGTAGTCACGCGAGATTACGCCGCTTCTGGCCGCGTGGGGGATGTAATTTGATTCCGGGGTGCGTATTTCTTTCCCTCCTGCTCTGGCAAGATCAGATGAGAGAGAGAGAGAGAGAGAGAGAGAGAGAGAGGAAGAGGGAGAGAGAGAGAGAGAGGAAGAGGGAGAGAGAGAGAGAGGAAGAGGGAGAGAGAGAGAGAGAGAGAGGAAGAGGGAGAGTGGAGAACGAGAAAGAGAGAGAGGTAAAATGGAGCGTGAGAGCGGGAGAGAGAGAGGGAGTGAAGGAGGGGGAAAGTGAAAAGCGAGAGAGAGGGAGAAAGAGAGGGAAAGTGGAGAGCGAGAGAGAGAGAGAGAGAGAGAAAGTGGAGAGCGAGAGAGAGAAAGACAGAGGGAGCTCGTCAACCCCGATTGCTGATAATCGTCGCGACACACGAGTTCCGCGAGCAATTTGTTGCGCGCGCGGTTCATTTGAAATTTAAACGGCGAATTTAAATGCAAATTATTCGGCCCGCCATATATCCTTTTTATATTTGCCGCGACGAAGCCGCTCAATCTCCGGCCGCGATAAACACTCGAATAACGTTAGCCATCTAGATCGCGTTTGAACCATAATTCCGCACGATAATTGCTCGTTGCGATCCTGCCCTTCTACGGAAAGATAAAGTAGGATGATCTCTTGTTACGAGCACGTTGTCGGGATAAGGGCCGTTTATGGAGGCGATCCGGAAGTTCGAAGAACTTTCGGACTGACGTACGAGTAAGATCCAGTGATGCACCGCTGTTTAAAAAAATAAACAAACGTCTCTTCGTTTTTGCTAGAAAATAATGTGCATCGATCGGTAGGACGATGTCGTTGGACCTCGGGAAAATACCTTTTTTCTGTCGTTAAACGCACCCTCGAAAATAGTGCGATTTTGTGCCGAGAAGCTTTTTTTAGTGCGACCATAAATTGCCAAGATAATTAAGTATTCCGGTTTAAGTGCCTCACCCTCTTTATTGCGAAATTTACAGCCTCGAATAAAGGTCCGTGAAAAACGAAGAGTTATTACACACGACGACGAATGTAAATAATATATGGCGATAAATAACAGCCATTTTTCATGTTTTATATGCACGATGGTGGAGGGTGGGTCTGTTAACGCAAAATACATGAACGAACAACACGAAGAATTCTTCGCGTAACATTTGAAATTGACACGTGCCGCATGAAGGTGTTACAAGATCGCAGATGTTAATCTGCGTGTATTTAAGACAGTCTCTCCAGTCTACTTTACGCCCCATTTGCTGAAAGAGTGTTCTTTCGTCTTAACGAGGATCTCATCATATAAAAGTGACTACCTAACGAGAATATGAAATACGGCAGCCCTTAATAAGATACCTTGAATCGGGAAAAATCTAATGGTTCATAAAATTTCCTCGCGCTTTCCAAGCCGAAGGGAAAAGAATAATAAAACGTCCCGCCTCGCAAAAATAATATGCGAGCGAAAAATATTTCCAATAAACCCATTTAAAAAGCAGCAACAGCAAATTTTTTGCCGTGGACCGTGAATATTTGTTAAATTTCCGAACGACCAAGAGCGTATCGAGAGGCAAGCTTTTTCTGAACATTTTTTTTTTAGCCAACATTTCGCGCTACGTTTTGTATAAAACTCGGTCTCAAATTCTCTCGAACGCGTTTCCGTGAAACGGATCCGGTTAAATTAAAATTACTCACCGATATCGATGACGCCGGAACAGAAAATCCTCGTGGAAATCCAAATAATTCTCCAACGGAAGTTTCCTACTCGACGCACTCATCCAATCATCTGCAACAAAGAACGGGCTCTTTCAGCTCCAGCGACGAGACAAATGGAAATGGAAAGATGGTGTGACGAAAGGACACCGGAGAAACAAAGTACAGTGTGCTCCGATGCGAGCACGGCAATTTACAGGTTCTATTTATCCACTTCCAACGAAGTACCATCGGTCACGAACGAACGCTTCAATATTTCCGGTTGCAGAGACCGCCGAGGATACTTGGGAAACCTATAATGGAAACTCCGCGGACTTTGTAAACAACCGAAGAAAGTAACGCGCGCGCGAATGAAGCCAAGAATATATTCTTCAATTATTACTATACCGCGGACCTTTATGAAAGATGACAATTGTCGAAGACGGTTGTAAAAATGCAGAAAGTAAATATAAAAGTAAATTGTTTCTCCTACTAATTTTGGTAAATTGAAAGTGAACAATATTATTAAATTTCTTATATATCTTCATTTTTAATATCTTAGCTAATCATTTTTGTTATAAATGCGTAAAATCCGCAGTCTAATTATCACGTCATGATGAAGGAACGACCTTTGGTAATCTTGTTCTCGAAAACTGCAGGACTTTCTCCAAAAGATATTTCTTAATTAAAATAGGTATTAATTTTTTAATTGAAAATTATTATTTTTAGATATACAAATAGATTTGTCTTGTAATCATTTATTTCAAAATGTTCTCTAATCCTCGAGTACACATAACCGGGACGGTAGTCCAGAACTGTCCGGAACAGAAAAAAGAAAATGGTTGTAGTAGAGACAAAGGTGAACCGCGACGGATAATTGCCCGTTCTAGTAACCAAAAGGAAAAGAAAAGAAGCGAAGCGACTCCGATACTGTACGTTGTTTCTCGCCTTATCGGTCCTTTCCATTTTACTTACGTCTCTCAACAATTATTAATTGAAATTACGAACCTCGCAGATGGCAGCAACCGAGTTTAATTCGCTTTTAATCGAAAGAATGACCGAGTTGATTAAACGTTACAATTAATTTTAAATCGGTTTGCCATAATTTGCAAAAAAAGAACTCGCCGATTCACAGATCCGTTTGCTGCTTAAACGTATAATTGTTATACTTTACTGTATCAATTAACAATTTAATGACCAATGTCCGAGCGATAAATTCGATGGTAAAATATTGCCAAGAAGAGATTAATTAACGAACGTGTTGAGAGCAGAGTTTATCGGTAATGATGTGACCCGACGCAGCTGGCGGAGGGGTTGTAATGATTATTACTCCTCGAGTGCACTAATATGGCCTCGAGACACTCTAATCTTGGAGTCTTGGGCAGCTGCGCGTCACTTGTTTGACACAATATTATAACTATGCCGCCATCGTGTTATTATTGCTTGGAATTGCATTAGTATTTTCTGGAGCACTTGTGGAAGTTCAGCGATTTTGAACGGAATCGCATAAAACACTTACATTTTGCAATATTTGCTTTCTGTTTCTCGAGTACAGCAAATTCTCCCCAATTGCCCTTCAGTTTATTAACAAAAGTGGACAATTTGGGAAGAGAAGATACGATTATTCGAGCCTCGCGCCTCGTTTTTATAGTTGTTGACAGTCGTCAATAATCGTATCTCCTCTTCCCAAATTCTCCATTTTTGTGTACAATCTGAGCGTCAATCAGGAAAAATTTACTGTATATACAAAACTATTTATTATGTCCCAAAATTATGGTGTTTCCGGGAAATGCGGGGTTCCTGAGACCATTTGAAGTAACTTTTTCCTTTATAAAAATGTTCCTCGAGGCATCGTTAACGAGTTATTAACGAAAAACGCCGACCAACGAGAGGCGAGCTCGGGTAGCGCGAGGCGGCGTAGCCAACGAGCGCGCGAAGCCCAGTTCCGTTCATTGGCTCGGCCGCCACGCGCCAGCTGATCTCGCCTCTCATTGGTCACTGTTTTTCGTTAATAACTCGCAAACGAAGCAGCGGATCGCATTTTCGCTGAGGAAAAAGTTACTTCGAATGACCTCATCAACCTCTCAGTTCCCGGAAATACAATAATTTTGAGACACTCTGTACAATCCAGTCAAGATTAATCTAGTACTGTATCTGAGAAACTGTTCTATTTTTCGAAACCACATGTTCCTCTGATCAGTTCGGATAAATAACATAATTAATCTTCTAATGGGGACTCTCAAGATCCCATGAAAATTTGTTACATACTGGTTATCGTCGTCGTATTGCAAGACAATTGCAACTACGATGTTTCTTCAACTTCTTTGGAATTACTAGATTTCGTAACCTTCACCTACATACTTTAATATCTATAATAGTATATATTTGATGATATTATTGGAAAGATCCAAGTGTATCATTTTGCAGTCTCAAGAAACAGAGTGCGATTTCAGGATGGCACCTGATAATAACCCAACAATCGTAAACCTAACAAGCACTAAAACCATCCGTATATTTCGTCGCATAAAATTAACAAGACTATTCAGATTTTATATAACCTCTATGTTCTCGTACAAAGAAGTTAAGTTGACTTCCATAGAAGTGTCTTGTCTCGCAAAAATGTCAGAACTGTATTTAGATATTTCCAGATTTTAACCGAACGTAACAAATTACCCCATTTCCCACAGAATCGGCCCGTCGACTTCAAAAATTTCAGAATAAGAATAGCGTAGATTCAGCGTGAAAAATTAAAATTCCAGAACGCTTCACCGAAATCTCGTATTTCCCTGTGCCGGACAGTTTTCTATTTTTCAAAAAGTCCCGGGCACGGTCAAAAAATCGATGGAAACGTATCCCTTGTTCCTCTGTCGGGCAGCGCATTCTGGCCACCGAGGAAGGAGCAACGGATTCATCGGGGACCGCGTTAAGCCCGATTCCGTCGGCTCTCGACGTTCTGCAAACGCGCATAAAGGCTTGTCCCCGGTGTGCGTGAACGAAAGAGGCGGGCCTCGCATAGAAAAGGCGTACATATCCATGCCGGCCGGCACGGGGAACACGCGTAATCCCTTTTGTCTCTGCGGATGTTCCGCTGACGTTGCCTGGCCCCTCCGCTGCCTCCTCCCCCCGGAAGCTCGTACACGGGACTTTAAATGGTAATTTCGAGGGGGCCGAGCGGATGGCATCGTCGCGGGGACCTGTATAATTGAGCATGTCGGCTCTGAAACGGTCCGCGGCAGGATCATGGCCGCTGCTTTCTTAAATAATTGCCGGACGGGTGTCGCACGGTCTGCTGGACGACTTGATGGCTGCTCGGGGACACTATAATTTGATAAAGCATTTGTACACCACTGGTTTTAAATACTCCCTCATACCGAAACTAGCAGTAACTAATTTACCATTTTTATGTTTCGGGATAAATGTGTTGGTTTATGAAAGGGTTTGCTATATTGAAATTTATTTTTAATATCTAAGGACTGCTGACATGTTGACTGCCAGCTACTTGTCTCACAATTTGATACCAAAGCTAAGAGACCTTTTGCATTTTTAGAGATAATGTATGCAGTAAATTCTCTCCAATTGTCCGTTAGCTTGATAATGGACAATTTGGGAAGAGGAGATTATTCGGGCCTCGCGGCTCGTTTTTATAGTAGCCGATTGTCAACAACTCGAATAATCGTATCTCTTCTTCCCTAATTGTCCACTTTTGTTTACAAGCTGCTGGAAAATTAGGAAGGATTTACTGTATACATTATTGTAAAAATGGCAAAAGGTCCCTCAGCTTTAGTATTAAATTGCGAGACAAATAGCATGCCACATGACATAGTAAACATGTCAGCAGTCCTTAGATATTCAAAGTAAATTAAATACTTGCATTAAGATATTGATTCCATCGTTTCGTACGAATAAGTCTTTATAATATCAACCACTTTGAAATAGAATATATGAAACTGGTTATAGTGACCGGTTTGGCAAGTTTGATTAATAACCTTGCACAAATGCAGACGAAATTTTCTTTACCACTACTGCAAATTTCAGTGTTTATTCCGAAGATTCAAATGGGAAGATATAAAATACGGGGTGTCTTAAAAATGTCTCGCAATCCGAAAGTGGCGGGTTCCTCAGGTCATTTGAAGCAACTTCTTCCTTTACAAAAATTTTCTCCAAGGCACCATTAACGAGTTATTAACGAAAAACAGTGATCAATAAGAATCGAGTACGGCTGGCGCGAGGCGGCCCAGCCAACCGGCGCACGAAGCCCAGTTCCGCTCATTGGCTCGGTCGCCTCGCGCCAGCTGAGCTGGGATGCGACCGCTCGACCGCTGGCGTCGTTGGCTCGGCCGCCTTGACCGCTGACGTCGTTGGCTCAGCGGCCTCGACCGCTGAGCTGGGATTCGACCGCCTCGACCGCTGGCGCCGTTGGCTCGGCCGGCTCGCGCCAGCTGAGCTCGCCTCTCATTGGTCACTGTTTTTCGTTAATAGCTCGTTAATGGTGCCTTGGAGAAAATTTTTGTAAAGGAAGAAGTTGCTTCAAATGATCCGAGGAACCCGCCATTTCTGGATTGCGAGACATTTTTGGGACATCCTGTATATTCGAATCGAGGCATGTGGCCTTCGAATTGCCTTCGAATCGTGGCAAAAAATTAGAAATAAAAAAGTTAAGTCAACATTTTTATTCTAGCATTATTATGTATACATATTAATGTACACCGGCATGTTGCCCGCTGTCATTTTTCACCGGTAGCTCCAATTTCTACAAAAACGAACCGCGAGGCTCGAAGAATCGCGGCCTAATATTCTCAGATCTGCCGGTTTCAATTTCGACCTCCGAACATTTCTGGGAGAAATTACTGTCCTCTGTCGGGACAACGATGAAACAGCCATATGGCAGGCGAGGGATCATAGTGCAAGCAATCGAACCCGCATTTCTTGCAGACGCAAGCGAAATCGCGTTCTGCAGTGCACTCGGAGGGTCGAAGCGGGAAGATTAGCCTCTCGCTGACGTCCTCGTGCGTTCACGCATGAAACTCCTCTTTCTCCCGGATAGGGGAGCCGTCATTTCCCTGTAACAGTTGTTCCTTGACTCGTGACTCCCCT